GTTAGTTAAGTAAAGTAGGTACCGACCCACGAACTTACGTCTCGTTACGTTGTTTCGTTACTGTTCTTTCTTACTTTCTTTACTTACTACTCTCTCTCTCTCTCTCTCTCTCTCTCTCTCTCTCTTGTTCGTGTTTCTTTTTCCTCTTCTTGTCAAGTTTTAATGTAATTCTTATTCTTTGCATGTCCAATTCCTCTCTCAGGATTTCAACATCAAGTTGGATGAAGATTGAAGAAATAGAAGATCAATGGTGGTAGGAATAACCAGAGTCTGAGTTTTTGCAATCAACTGTGCATTTCTTCATGTAACCTGCTGAAGATTTGGTTTTATGTTTTTTGCATTCTTTTGCCTTGTTTTCTATTTTCTTTTAGAACATAAACTTTAGCAATGTGTCAGTTGATGTATGTCAATGTGTGTACATGCAATGCTTTCTTAAAGAACCAAACCATCATCTATCTCCATTTCATTGGATCTTTTGATTTTATGGTGACTACTGTTTGAATCTGATGACTTCTTTTTCTGTATTCTTTTGAGAGTGCTTGATAAGATACGATATGTAGGAGACCTCTTCATTGCGGTGGTTATCCTTTGAGTAATTTAGGTATGGACCCTAAATAAATAGAAAAAATATAAATTTTGTATCATAAAATGCTTCGTTATAGCAAAAAAATTACGGTCGGTCAATGCGTGTTTTTGTTTTTTCCAAAATTGCCTCTCGGTCCGAAATGAAATATCCTCGGACAAAATTTTAAAGGTTTTATTTTATTTTTTGTTTTTTATTTTTAACTTTTTCTTTGTAGGGTAGTGCCCAAACAGTTCGAAGTTGACATCCTTAGACCACTTGGAATTTCACAAATCAAAGAACAGAAGGCGGTCCAAGGATGGCTTTCTCAGGCCGAGAATGAAGTTCACAAAGCAGTCAAGGATGCCAACCTCAAACTGCAAATGAAGTTCCAAGCTGTCCGAAGATGCCAACCTTGTATCGTGTTATTCATGTTACACCAGGAGGTAGTCCGTGGTTGGCATTTTTGGACCACTTGGACCTTCATTTACAGTCCGAGGTAGGCATCCTCGGACTGCTATTTTTTCTAAAAAAGAATACCATCGGTCCGAAAAAAAAACCAAAAAAAAAAAGAATTGAAATTCGGTACGACGATGCCATCTTGAGACCTAGGGGCAATTTCAGAAAAAAGAAAAAATTTGCGCGATAACCGACCTTTTTAGTTTTGGGGTATAAACGGAGTATTTTAATATTTTCCTTATTTTCTAGACGCCGTACTTGAATTACACTTATCTTTTTAATGGAGGTTTCCCTTCTACCCTATCCATATTTTATATTTGGACATGGGTTTTACTCAGTTGTACATATGCGCACCCTCCCCATGATCTTTTTTAAGATGGATTTGGAATTCAACATTTTCGTACTATCTTGAACATGGTGGATTATTAATATGTAAAAATAAATTGATCTTGATATAAAATAAGAATGGTTCTATACCTTTGGTTTTGTTTTTTTGGCACAAGTTTTGTACATCCATCCTCCTCAGTAGACACCAATGTAGAACACCTTTGCTTTATTTTTTCTCACTTTTATAGTTAGACAGCCCTTATGGTAAGTGTTTAGAGAAGCATAGTCTACACTTAGTGCTTTAGGCTAACAACTATTTTTTAGGATTTTTTTAATATGAAAATTTGAGATCCACTTAAGAACCGTGGATGATTATTTTTGAAAAGGATTGGATATTAAATTCTTCAATACCTAGATCTAACCCTTCAAAAAATTTTACGGACATTGTTCAATCTTGGCACTTTGTTTAGGCATACATAAAAGTTAGGTTCAAAAGCACAAAATAGTTGAAGATTACATTCCCCAAACTTTGGGTCCTAAAGATACACCTAGATTGGTTTTGGTCTGAGGGGTAAATGAACAAGCTATTCCTTGGAACGCATCAAATAGGTCAAACAAGCACGTTCTATGCTCACCAACATTCGGTGAGCATATATCTCAGCTTTCTGATAACCAATCCGCCTTTGATTATTTGATGGATTTTCTGTCGCAATCTCTCTTAGCCGTCGATAAATGCTGGCAAAAATTGGTTACGCAGAGTGAAACTTCTCCAATTGTGACATTTCACCAGCCACTAAGAATCATTCCTTTTTGATATAACTCCTATTTGAACAAGGGAGGACAAAGCGGCATAGAACTAAGGCTAGGCAAGTCGCTGGCCCGACATGTCAAGATATCTTCAAAGCTTTTAGTACAGGTTGTTATGATCGATGGTGGGGAAATTACATCAGGGGTGTATCGAATTTACAACTATTGTGCATCCAAATTATACAAACCAGCAATAGAAATAAGATAACATCAAAACACATCATAGATTGAAAATACAACAACATACAACTTATAAAGTACAAAGATTTAACATGGTTCGGCTACAAAATGTAACTTACATCCACTAGAGAATGGTGCAAGGCTTTATTTACTAATTTCATAGAGATTACGAGAGAGATTAAGTTCCAAAGATCCAATTTACAGTAGCTTTAACTCTCTTAAAACACGGTCCAAACGCAAAACTAATGTGCACTCTCTCTCTAGAACTGCGCTAGCAACTAAGTCTCAAAAACCCAACAAACTCCCTCTTCTAGCACTTTCTCTAACTAGAATTGGGGCAGGATAAACAAGGCCGGAAAACCCCATCGTAAATTCTCTTCCTTTATTTCTTTTTCACTCTCTCTCCCTCTCTCTAAACAAAAGGGTTTTAATCTCTTAAAGTACCAACAACATCACAACCCCTGAATTAGTTTCAATCCAAAGGCTCAAAACAAGAGATGAAAAGCAAAAAAACAAAACCCACATGTATGATTTGGATTCACACATACATAATACTGTCCCCACTTAAAGACAAACCACCAAGCCTCTTAAACAACGACCAATGCATCACTCTCCATCATCTCGAGGTTATATCTCCTCCAACTCTGAAAACCTTCTGCACATCTTAACCTTTTCAATCAAAGCAATCTTGTCAACATATCAGCAAGGTTCATATCAATGTGGATCTTATCCACCTGCAGATCTCTAAGCTTGAATGCAAATCGAATAAAATGACATTTGACCTATATATACTTTGTCTTTGAGTGATAAGCTGCATTCTTAACGGATAGCACTTTGGTTATCACAATGCACAACATACTAATCTTGTTTCACCTCAAATTGGTCAAGTAACCACATCAACTAAATTATTTATTTTGTTGCCTTTGTCAATGCCATATATTCAGCTTCAGTCGATGACGAGGCAACAATATCTTGCAACCTTGACATCCAACAGACTGCACCACCACCAACTTTGAAAATGTACCTAGTGGTAGAACTTCTAGTATCACGACATCCTGCATAATCTTCATCTACATAACCAACAACTTCCAATGATGAATTTCTCAAATACAAATATACATTTCATGTCCCCTTCAAATATCAAATGATTCACTTAACGTCTTGCAGATGTTCCTAACTTGGATTAAAAATAAATCGGGAAACAACTCCCATTGCATGGACAATATCAGGTCTAGTACAAACCATCGCATACATCAAATTACCCACTGCAGAAGTATATGAAACATTTTTCATCTTACTTTTATCTACCTTATTCATTAGAGAGTCATTTTTAGACAACTTGAAATGTGCAGCAAATGTTGTAGAAACAAGTTTACAACCAATCATATTGAACAGCTCAAGAACTTTATAAATATATTCGGATTGACTTAACCAAATCTTACATTGTTTTTTATCTCTAGGATGTGCATGCCCAATATCTTCTTGGCTTGTCCAAGATCCTTGGTAGCAATATGCTAGCAACAAGCATATCATCAGCATAAAGCAATACAACAGTAAAAATCATATGTTGAACCCTTGAAGTACACATAATGATCAAATTAACATCTAGAATAACCTTTACCCATAATAAGACTCTCAAAATTTTTATACTGTTGCCTAGATGCATGTTTCAAACTATAGTGTCCCTTTTTCAACTCATAAATCAAGTTAGGAATGGTTTTGTTCTCAAAACCTTTAGGTTGATACATATAATTTTCTTCATCAAGATCACCATGTAAGAATGCCGTTCTAATATCAAGTTCTTCTAGATCCAAATTCAAGTTAGAAACTAAAGATAAAACAACACTAATAGAGCTATGCTTAACAACAAGAGAAAAAATTTCAATAAAATTAACACCTAGTTTTTGCCCATAGCCTTTCACCACAAGTTTGGCTTTATAGCGCATGATATCATTTGTCACCCAGTTAATTGTATATACCCACCTATTCTTCAATGCTTTCTTTCCATATGGAAGTTCTACCATTTCTCATGTATTATTCTTATGCGAAGCATCAATCTCCTCCTTCTTTGCCTTAAGCATTAGGGCAATAAGTGGCCTCCTGAAAAGATTTAGGTTCACCACTATCAGTATACAAAGTATAATTTAGGATGTGTGGGCTTGTGAGCATGTGTGAATCTTCTCAATTATGGAAAAAGTGTAACCGACAGGCCTTCTTCACCTTCAATTAATCCAATGTCATCCTCATAACTAACATCATAATTTGAGTCTCTTGCATTTGTCGAGGTAAATCAATAGGATTTTGAACTTGTATATCCACACAATGTCTTTCTTACTTTGGCTCTTCTTGCTTCTTTTTAGTAACATTACATTCTCATTACAGAGAACATCCCTACTCTTTATGGTCTTCTTAGCAATGGGATAACAAATCCTAAACTTCTATCATCACCAACATACCTAAGAAAAGCACATCTTCTTGACTTGCTGTAGACACTCCGATCTCGGTTGAGGAAACCACAGCGAACCAAAACGCCCCACCCTGATACTTGAACCATTCACACCTACTTTGACCCATCTATAAACTAGACCCCACAAGCCCATAAAACAAATGGACTGGGATGAAGGCACTTGTGATCCGAAACATGTCAGAATGGTTTTCAAGATTGTCAAACCAATAGTGACTTAAGAAGAAGAATGATCTGGCGCCACAGCCAGTGGAACTGATACATTTCCCAATGGTGACAAAAGGCGACCAAAAGACAACATCTAGAAAACAGTCTGAAAAAAGAATGAAGGGCTCGGCGCCACTGTTAATGGTTGGAATTTTGCCAGACTAGTTCGCCTAAAAAATGAGGGTAGTCTGTAGACGTGACATAAAGCCGACTAATGATGTTTGTTAGTATGGACTAACACTTGTCAAGAGGTACTGACGTGCCCTCTGACGATGGTACGAGCATACGTGTCGACTTTCGGTGGACTAGGAGGTGTCCCCTCTACTGCTGAAAGTACGATCTGTTGAGAAAACCGTTGGAAGCCATCGCCACTTAAAATGGCACCGAAGGAAGTTTAAGTGGCATTTGGCCTTGCTTAGAAGCTCTAGAGCA